TGTGTGTGTGTGTGTGTGTGTGTGTGTGTGTGTGTGTGTGTGTGTGTGTGTGTGTGTGTGTCTCACCCTCACTGATGCAGTGTACGTGCTCTTCACAGCTGGAGTGTCGAAGCAGGGGAAGAAGGATCTGTTGCAGACGGAGTGTCCCTGAGTGAAGACCAGAGGACGGGTCTGTCCACAGGTGAGCTCCGAGTCCAGCCACCAGATCTGCACACAGGTGAGCATCAGTACGACACATCCCACAATGCACTGCATATGCACTGCATATCCCACAATGCACTGCAGATCCTGCAGATCCCACAATGCACTGCTCCTCCTTGTTTATGGACTAAAGTAAAAATGTTTCCTTACCTTAAACCAGAGACTAAAAACCCTTAACTAGAGACTGATAAACCCTTAACTTAAAGGCTAAATGCCTCAGACCCTTACCGCGGGCCCGTCTGTGGTGCTGTACCAGAGACTGATAAACCCTTAACTTAAAGGCTAAATGCCTCAGACCCTTACCGCGGGCCCGTCTGTGGTGCTGTACCAGAGACTGATAAACCCTTAACTTAAAGGCTAAATGCCTCAGACCCTTACCGCGGGCCCGTCTGTGGTGCTGTACCAGAGACTGATAAACCCTTAACTTAAAGGCTAAATGCCTCAGACCCTTACCGCGGGCCCGTCTGTGGTGCTGTACCAGAGACTGATAAACCCTTAACTTAAAGGCTAAATGCCTCAGACCCTTACCGCGGGCCCGTCTGTGGTGCTGTACCAGAGACTGATAAACCCTTAACTTAAAGGCTAAATGCCTCAGACCCTTACCGCGGGCCCGTCTGTGGTGCTGTACCAGAGACTGATAAACCCTTAACTTAAAGGCTAAATGCCTCAGACCCTTACCGCGGGCCCGTCTGTGGTGCTGTACCAGAGACTGATAAACCCTTAACTTAAAGGCTAAATGCCTCAGACCCTTACCGCGGGCCCGTCTGTGGTGCTGTACCGGACCGTGACCTGGATCAGTCGGCCCAGCTTCAGGGCGTTCGGCAGGCTGATGTTCAGAGAGGACCCGTAGTCTGAGAAGGGGTCGAGGCGGTAGGTGAGGGACGTGAGACCCGTCTGACCCGTGACCTTACAGTCCACAGTCTGGATCAGCAGGGAGGGGTGGCAGTCCAGAACCAGGCTCTGGGTCCCCGGCTGCAGCGGGACCAGGTCCAGAACCAGCCAGCCGCTCAGCTCCTTCACCGCAAAGTTGATCCTGAGGTCCAGGTGCAGGTGTTTCAGTGAGAAGCAGCTGAAGTTAGAGGCCGAGGCCACGTCCACCAGGGGGTGTCGCTGAGGGGGACCAGGACCAGAACCAGAACCTGAACCAGGACCAGAACTAGAACCAGAACCTGAGGAGGGACCAGGAACTCCTGCTGAGGGACCAGAACCAGAACCTGAGGAGGGACCAGAACCTCCTGCTGAGGGACTAGGACCTGCTGAGGGACCAGAACCTCCTGCTGAGGGACCAGGACCTCCTGCTGAGGCTCGGGACCCTGAGACCGGAGGGGATTTCCGGCAGCAGCACAGAGAGGCGGGGGTCTGCTGGAGGTCCGCCATCCTGCTGCCAAACCAGGACTAACTGCATCCAGAACCAGAACCAGCTGTCTTCAGGGGTCTTAGTCGTTATGCTCCCCACAAATGGAAGAAACCTCCAGAAACCCAGAGTCTTCTTCACCAGCGCTGAGCTCTTTGAAGTCGAGTCTGAAACACGAGTCTTCTCAGCTGCTGACCCAGAAGCCTTTTCACTGGTCTCAGCTCCTTCTGGATTCACAATGTGGTTTTCAAACTATTCTGTATCTCCTTTATGAATGTGTCACTCCATGTGTTTCTCTTCTGTGTTCCTTTCTGTTGTCTTCTTGTTAAGTGTTAGTGAGGATGTGAAGCACTTTGAATTGCCTCTGTGTCCTGTTAACTTCAGGAAGACTGACCCGGTCTGACAGTGAAACCAGTTTGAGACCAGAGGCTGCCTGAAGTCCTCTATGTAAACCAGGCCAGACCACATTCAGAAACCAGGTCTAACAAACCTGAGTGAAGCACCTGTAAGGAAACTTAAATAAAGAAAGGAGACCCAGGAATAAAACCAGAACCAGGTCTCAAACCGGTCTATATGTGAAGAACATTCAGCTGAAACCAGACCAGGTCCAGAGCGACTGTAAACAGATAGGAACCAGAACCACCAAAATCCCATCAAACAGCACCTGTGATCCGGACCAGGTCTCCAACAGGACCCTGCGTTTAAAGGCAGATTTAAGAGTATTTAAAACTCAAATCAAATAAAACCTGAACTACATCCTGACTGTAACCCTCAGCTAACCAGACTGCATGAGAACCTGAACTGAAGACCTGTACACCCTTTAGCCTCTCACAGGAACCACAACAAGCCAGTGAGTTGAATCTAAACCTGGTCTAAACCCAGACAGGAAGAGGCTTTAAAGGGACACTTAAAGGCAGAATTGAGATAATTAAAAACTATATTCAACAAAACCTGAACCACATTAAGACCCCTGAACTTAACCCTCATCCAGACTACTTTTAGACCCTTAACCCTCATGTATCCAGACTGCTTGTAGACCCTTAACCCTCATGTATCCAGACTACATGGACACCCTTAACCCTTATGTATCCAGACTGCTTTAGGACCCTTAACCCTTATGCTAATCCAGACTGCTTGGTAGACCCTTTACCCTCATGTATCCAGACTACTTGTAGACTCTTAACCCTCTCACAGGAACCATAACAAACCCTCAGTGTGTCTTTAGACTGGGTTAAGCCCATCACAAACCAGTGAGTTTGAATGTAAACCCGGACAGGAAGAGGCTTTAAAAGGGACACTTAAAGCTGACTAAAAACTAACTCAAACACACATCAAAGCCCTGTTAGCCCGGGTTAGCTGCTGTGATTAGCCTCTTTAGCTCTCGTTAACACGGTTTATAAACAGGCTCAATAACCAGCTAATTAGCATTAGCTCTGATTAGCTCAAGCAGATAGCGACACTTCCTGAGAGCTGCGGCCAAATCCCTGCTGTTTCCCGGGCTCTTTCAGGGATCGTCCCGGTGGTTAGCTGTTAGCTGTGAGCAGAGATCAATGATCCAGAGAGAGGGGCGCGAGGAGGCTCTGCTCCCCGAAAACAGGAAGTCTCAGCCGGGAAGAGTTAGAGCAGACAAGGGGGGGGGCGCTGCGGAGGTCACAGGATTATTTTATATATTTTTCTTAGATATTTAATTAAGAATGAACAAAATTTTTCCAAATTGGGATAAAGTATATCTTTATTTGTCGTTTAATTATATTTTATTAAAACTACCTTTATTAGAAAACAATGTACATCAAACAAATGAAAAACCAAAGATATATATTTTAACGGGCCTATAATTAATCTATATTCATATAATTGCTATATTTTAAAATTATAATAGATTTCTTAAAATCTTGTTTTTGCTCCTTTTCTCTCAGTTAATCTTTAACTGTGTTTCTGCTCCAGAGTTCACTGTGACGTCACCAAGGTATCAACCAATCAGCTGACAGCAGATCAGTTCAGAGAAAAACCAAACATCTTCCAGGCTCCAAATGTTAGACGGGGTGGGTCTTCAGAATAAAGTAACTCCTGATTGGCTGCTAATGTTAGAGGGGGCGAGGTAAATGGTAAATGGACTGTACTTATATAGCGCTTTATCCAGTCTTTAAGACCCCTCAAAGCGCTTTACATACTACATGTCATTCACCCATTCATTCACCCATTCATACCCATTCATACAGAGCAGTGTACCTTACTCTAGGACCTAACATTCACACACAGTTGGCCATGCCATCGGGAGCAACTCAGGGTTAAGTATCTTTCCCAAGGATACATCGACATGTTGACTGCATGGGCTGGGATCGAACCCACAACCTTCTGGTTGAAAGACGACCACACTCCCTCACAGCCACAGTCCCCCTAACACACAGGCTTCAGAATAAAGTGAATTGTATTACCTTTCTCAAACCCTTTTTCTCACTTTCTGTATATTAACAAGTACTTCAGAAACAAAGAGTTTACATTTCACACACTGTTTAAATAGTTGTGATTATTAACCCTTTAAATAAAGTTTTCGCCCACAGTTTGAATAACGTGAAGGAAAGATCAGACAGGAAGCGGAGGACGTGAATCAGTTTTTATTTATCAGACGTTTCCTTCTTCTTCAGACTCGAGACGGGTACAGCATCTGAAACGAGAAGACAGGAAGTCAGCCCCCGCCACAATAAAACACCTGAGACATCAGAGCTGCAGGGACACGCTTTCAGATGAGCTAACATTATGGGATGTTTCAGTGCTGATGACTGAAGAGCAACACGTCACCATTCACAAACTAAATGTGTCCTGCTTAGAGTCTGTCTGTGTGTGTGTGGAAATGATTGAAGGTGCAAGCTGCGTCTCAGACGGTGAACCACTGAACGTGGTGGTGGTCAGTGTGTGTCTAGAATCTGCA